CACACACACACACACACACACACACACACACACACACACACACACACACACACACACACACACACACACTCAATTAATTTGGTTTCAACATTACTATGGATGACAACACACAAAACTTAAAACATAAAATATATCACACTTGTAATTATTATTGATAGCAACATGAGCTACTACGTAAACTATTACTAGATGCAGGTACGAGTTCGTCTAACAACATACAATGCAACACCAGTGCAAGACCCCACCACTGCAATAATTATGCGCGTCATTTTTATGTTAATCTTTTCTGTATCGTTTTAATTTTATCAGATGTCTTAAAGGACCCACCGCTACAATAATTATTTTAGTATAAAATGACAATGTGGCCAACATAATGACCTACCACAATATCCAGACCAAGTCCTAGCCGCCTCCACTTGACAATCAAATTATAGCACAAGGCTAAAATCTACTTCTCTTTCCTCCATCTGGTGCTGAATGTGACTTTTGCATAGTGGTACTCAACAAGTAAACAAAGAGAGGAAAAACTAATATACTTTTAAATTACACCAAACATTTGACTTAGACAAGATAAACACAGAAATACCAATGTTACAAATTGCACCAAAATAAGCCTTATTGTAGTTTAAAATTAACAGATGAAAATACAAATGTGCTCTTTTCATAACAAAAAATAGCTGTCAAACAGCATATAACCTTCCAAGTTACTGTCATGACATTGACGAACTTCAAAATAACACGTCCACTTGTGATAACTGCTTACCGTTTAGTAATTATTCTTCATTTTCAAGAAAAAAAATGGTATTTTTTTTTATCAAAGTTCATCTTTATGCAATTTACAAACTATAGGAGATGGATTTTTACTTTTGAATATACAGGGAAAATTACATAAGGGAGATTTTAATAATTTTTCAATATAGTGTGTAAAGTGTATACCATTGCTTAGCAATAAGCCTGATCCAGTAAAATTATATGGCTCTATAAGAAAATCCTTTGTGCATTTATTGCACTCTTTTCAATCCTTAGACATGGAGTTCCCCCTCTCTTTGTAGTGGAAACCCATTAGTTTGAAATTGTTATGTTCTAGAATGTACCTCTATTCTATTTGTGCTTGATAAACTTCAAATAAGCACAAAAGAATTCACTACATAAGTAAATTTTGGAAAATTGTTCACCTCACATCAAATAAATAACCATTTTCCATTAAAACCAAAATGAAGAACACATTCCTAATTAAATAAAACTTTTCTCGATTGCCAATGAAAATCATAGTATGCAAAGTGTAGAATGATTTGTAGATAAATAATCAAACATGGAATGTTCCAATAGAAAATTTCAGTCTTTTTTCCGAGAAAATAGGGCAGTGCTACTAGGGTACAGTTTCTTAAGCAGATTCAAAATTATTTTCCAATATTTTTTTCCCTTTTAAATTCTAGATAAGCTTGACACCTCCTTCCCTCACAGAATCAATCACAGCTTTAACCTTACCATGATATCTTTGTTCTCTCTTCAAGTGGACTGTCACAGCGGGGATGTTGTTAATTAGCAGGCATTCTGCCAATATCTTCCCAATCTTTGCAGCAGCAGCCACATCCCGTGTAGTTTCCATGCATTCTCTCAAGACTTTTTCCTGCGAACTAGCAGAAGCAGTTACTGTGGCAGTTGGCGTGTGGATTACCTGCACGTTCACGAACTTGTTCGTGAAGTGCATCTTCAGGACGTAAGGCTTGAGGTACTTTGTGATTGCACGTGGCCTAGCCACTAAAATAATAACGTAAAGAAAGCGGGCACAAATGGTTGTTTTTCCTCTGATAAGTGGAAACAAAACTATCCATTTTGAATAAGCATGATAATGAAAAAGATAAAGCATTACATCTCCAACTAAAACAACTCTACTCAAGTGTCTGACTTACAAAAAAACGATACAGCTTCATACATTTTGGAGCATTGGCTTCTTAATTCAGCAAAAACAATAATACTAATTAATATTTATTTTGAGCGCCATGCTATTGTCATATGAGGTATCCCATCCGCGCAGCGCGTAACTCGATATTCGTCAAGCACGTGACAAACAAAGATATGAATTGGTTGCGAGCCAAATCAAGAGCAGCAATTTCTCTTAAGATGCTTCAAACAAATTAATACATTTGAGTAGATCATTTATAGATCATGAAGAAACATTTGAACCATTCGTCATTGAACAATCCTATATCTTCTTTCCCCTCCAAGGCATAGTTTCCCCATTAAATAAAAACGCTCTTAACATCCAATCTACCCATATTAGTACGTATTAATTATAACATTAAGCACGAAAATACATCAGAAACACCAAAGTCAACCACTTTTACCACCATTAATTAGTTTTCTCCCTTTCTTTTTCCCAATATATGATTTTTTTTTAGTTCTTTGAGAACTACCATCAAACACTTTGTATGCAATAATATAAGCTCAACACTAAATCCCAATTTTTCGACAGGATCAATTTCGAAACACTGCACATTATTCCTGGTCCACACATAATAAAGAAAAATCATGACTTTATATCCAAATTTCATGGGAAACAATTCAAAGTTGCATCTATTTTTGACCAAGTCCCAAATAACGTGTCAATTTAACAAATCTTAATAATACAAGAAATTATTGAAAATTTCCTACTATTTTTTTAACAAGTTTTTCCTCAGGATTCAGGATTCTCGGTAACCAATCAAATAGTAGCTTTGCCGTTTGGAAACTCGGAGGAGAAGTGATAAAGGAAAGAAATGAAAACCATAAGTTTAGACATAGAAGTAATGATAAGAGAGGCGTACTCTGAACCCTTCTATGGAAACTTCAGTGTCGAATTCCGAACTCCAAAAATGTGGCTTTAAAATTGAGAAATTGCGAGCAGAATATGAGAATCTCGGACTTGAGAGGGAGACCGAGAGACAGAGAGAAGCGAGAGAGAATAAGAAAAGTTTTTTCTTTTTATTTCAATTTTCAATACACTTTTGTAACTAGTGTTGGAATTTGGAAGGTACAGGTTCTCTTGGAATCTTTTGATGAAAAAGGAACCGAGGAATCACCCAACGGAGCTTTAGTATTATATTAGTAGCAGGGCCGTCAAAAGCAAGGGATAAAGAACGGCTGCGCGGAGGTCTAAAAATATTGAGTTTTTGCTTAAAGCCCGACCCGATCCGACCCGCCTGAAAATTACGGGGCGCCCGCCTGAGTCTGAAAAGGCCCATGAACGGGCCGCGGGCTTCTATTGGGCTGCCCGAGTCCAGTCGAGTAGCCTGAGCCCGACCGAGCAGTCCGAGACCGTCCGAAATACCTGAATTTTTTTTATATTTTTTAATTTTTATAATTATTAAGTTATTTTGTGTTAAAATTTTATAAAAACTAAAACCAACATTTAACAGACATTATTAACACAATTTAATAAAATAATTTTGTATATTAATTTTTAAATTTGTAATTCATGATTGTCTCGTTAAAAACTTTACTAAGAAAAACTCAATTGGGATAAAAACTTAGTAAGGAAAAAAGAGTGCAATCATTTTGTGACGAATTACAAATTTTACAAACTTATAAAGTCATACAATTACAATGTCAAAAGTAAATATATATTTACAAATTATAAATTTACAATTTAATTTGAAGTTGAAGGATCGTCTTCAAAATTAAATGTTAATCGATTAAATTCATCGATTCATTCTTGGCTTGCCGGCGAAATTGTATCTTGTAGACGTTGATCGGCACGATCCCAATCCTCGATCCCAATTCTTAATGCAGACCAAGGCTTCAACAATGTCCTTTTGCAATGCATTCCGGCGATCCTCAAGTATTCGTCATGTCGTACTGAAAGCTTGTTCGGATGAAATAATGGAGACTGGGATAAAAAATATATCCATTGTCAATCGAGTTAGGATTGGCCAAGTTACTGCCCGTGCCCTCCACCATTGAACTAAGTCAAACGATTCTCTAGTACCATCGACTACTAAGCCTTCACTGAGGTACGCCATAAGCTCGTTAAAGCTGCCGCCGCCATTGCCACTTGTTGATGAAGATCAACTCCCAACTTTTGTTTGAGTTATCTTCTTCTTCTTCTTCAACCCGAAAACATTCAAGAATGAATGCTGGTTTTTATTTTGTTGTTGCGGTTCCTGTACTCTAGAGTTTGTGCTTCTAAACCTAATCTCATATTTACTATAGATCGAATATATTTTTGCCTTTATTATTGGAAATTGGTCCGAACAATTGATGCCTAAAAATTCACCTAAGTTATCTAAATCACTTTCTAAACCGTCTAATTTTAATCTATGATGAAAAATAGTACTTAAACCATACAACAAAGGCAACTTAGACCAATATTTTTTAAATTTCTTTTCCATAGATTGGATAGGAACTCCTGAGATTGGGTCATCCCTATATTCGCTAAATAAAATACTAATTCTTAAAAGCTCACCTAAAGCTAAAGGTGATGTTAGGTAATATGTTCCACTAAGTTTTAGAGTAACTTCATGAAACCTACCTAAAAATTGATACAAAATTTCAATAATTTACCAATCATATGCGTCTATATGTCCTACTCCTAATTTTGCACACATATAGTTTGTTATAGCATCCTTATAGGGGATGCATTGTTGAAGCATTATATAAGTTGAGTTCCATCTTATAGGCATATCTAACGCTAATACTCTATGAGGTATATTTAATGCTTGTAAGAACCTAAACCAATCTTCTTGTGTTTGGTTACTACCTTGAATCCATGCAAGACTATCTCTAATTCTTTTAATGTGATTACCCATTTCTTTTCAAACAAATCAATTACTTTTGTATTGACACTAGCATTATCTAATGTTATAGCTATTACTTTATCTCTTAATTTAAATTCATCAATTACATTTAAAATTGTATTATATAGTAAATTCGCGTTGTGTGATCCTAGAACACATTTAAAACTTAATATTCTCTTATCTAAATCAAATCATTTAAAGTAATGTCCAGTTACACCTAAATAATCTTTATTGGCAACGGCAGACCAAATATCTGCCGTTGACACAACGCACTCGCTAGTCGAGTGTAAAAAGTTTATTAATGCTTCTTTTTTAAAATAATTTTAATAAATCTTTTCTAAGAGTGGTTTTTGAAGTGAACTGTGCATTGAGATTATGTACAACCTTAATATATCGTTGCCAATTAAGATGCTCTACAAAACTAAGTAGTTGATATAAAGCAACTATCATTCGCGCAACTTCCATACGATCTACTTGCGAATCGTATTTCCAAGTGGTTAGACCACTGGTTGCGCGATCAAAAGATAATTGTATTTGGCGGAGTTCGGGTCCGCCGGATTGGCTAAGCTTTTGAAGACATTTTTCAGAGTGTCTTCTCAAGTATGTGGTGCCGTGACTAGTGTCACTTTGTAATTTAGATCAACAATATTTACACTGAGCTATATGTTTAGTGTTACCTTCATGGTCGATCTCCTCAATTGTGTCGAAGTGATCTCAAACTGTCGAGGTGCGCTTGCATTTCCTCCTGGAGGTTGCAACACTTGCAGACGCAGTCGCACTTGCACTCGCCACTTCTTCACGCCCACCACCATTGCGATCACGGCCTCCAGTACGCCCACCAGGGCTCGGATTATTAGATTCATGCGTAACAAATTCATTAGTGGGAAATTGCCCTTCTTCCACGTTGTGTTGGCATCAACGGGAATACCACTATAACCAAAAGAATCCATTATAAAAAAATAAGAGCGATTTCAGAGATAGAGAGCTCTTTAGGATAATGTGATAGTTTTTAAAAAAGTTATGAGAGAGATTTGAGAGATTGAGAGAAATTGAGAGAGATTGAGAGAAATTGAGAGGGATTGAGAGAGTTTGAGTGGGAAAATGTGTGGGAGATGGGGGTATTTATAGGAAAATTTTTGGGTTAAAAAATTGATTTTTTCCCTCAAATTCGGATCCAACGGCTACTTTTGTTTTCGGCGGGTCTGGTTCGGGCGGGCTCGGGCATAAATTCGGGCAACGGTAAAAAAAAACTAGCCGTTGGACCGAGCTTTTTGGGTCGGGTCGGGCTCCAACTGTCAAAATTTTGACCGTTGGTCGGGTTTTCGGGCAAATCGAGCTTGCCTGGAAAAATTCAAAAAAATTCCGGCGGACGGTGGTTGACGGCGACAACACAGCGGCGGACTCTGGCGTGGTGTCCATTTTCGGGCTGCCCGAGCCTGAAAATGTAGTATTGGATGGGCTGGCAGTTAGGCCTTCCCACTGAGCCTGAAAAATTCAGACTTCGGGCCGACTTGCCGGTCCAAAGTTTTAACATTATTCGTAACATTATTAAAAAATAAAAATAAAAAAGGAAATTTGTATTATAGCTAAAAATGTTCTAGTATGCAGTATTTTTTATAATTGACGTTTTTTCTTAATATTCTAATTTTTAGTACAATGTCTAAATTACTCTTTTTATCAATTAAATAAAAATTAATATTTTTTTAATAATTTGAAAATATTTTATAGCATTAAAATATTTAAAATAAAACAATTAAATAAAAAAGTTCATGATTTTTTTTAAATATATTTTTGTTTAAGTGAATAGAAGGATACTAAAATCATTTTACATTTCAATCAGTTTTAGGATATTAAGAAAATATTTTTAAAAATGTCGAGATATCACTTTAATATTATTAAAAATACAAGATACTAAGAGCATGTGATTTTATCCTTAAAAAAATAATAATAATAATGGATCTTCTTCGGTACTCCAATATACCGGTAGGTCGGGTTTTTTATCCGTCAGATCTGCATAAAATCATGTAAAAATTAAAAAATACGTAGATCTAGCGATTAAAAAAACTTAACTTACTGGTACGCCATACGTAGTAAAGAATCTCCGTAATAATAATACACTTCATAGTTGAATTGAAATATGACACTTTTTGTTGAAATCTCATTATAGTGAATAGGGATACAGAACTAAATAGTCTATTGATAGTTTATTTTTTAAAAATTAGATAGATGGTCCTCTCGTATAATTTAAGAATTTTATTTAGTCAATCAGTAAAAAACCGTGGTCTATTTATGATAAACCATAGTCTATCACTAATAAACCTTAGTTTAACATTGTCCTAGGTGTGAAATCGATGAGTTCTCTAATACTCCGATTGTCTTTCTTCGTTGCGGATCTACCTAAGCTCCGTCGCCTCTCTCAAAGCTGAACTTTTTGCCCGCAAACAAAGGTCCACGGAGAGAGGAGTTCCACAATGCTCGCGAAGGGACATCCACGGCTCATGCGTACTCTATTAATATGCCAATTTGGCTAAATTTTTTTTAAAAAATAATGGTCATCTATTACACAAAACTTTTTGCTTAGACAAAACT